CATTTCCGACAAATGAGCAGCTTGTTGAAGAGAAAATGACGTTTGCAAAATTAAATTAAAATGCAATCAAAACGATATCTTGAAAAGTGAGGGACCAGTTCGTATATATACAGACGGACAGAGAGACAGACAGACGGACATGGCTAAATCGACTCAGCTCAACATACTCATCATCATATAATACATATACTTTATAGGGTTCGGTAAAAAATTTTTCAGCGATRAGGCCCATTTTTCGTTCAATGGGTATGTAATCAATTAAAATTACCGCATTTGGGACGAAGAGCAATCTGAAGGGACTCAATAGCTGCCATTTCATCTAGAATAAACAACGCTTTGGTGTGTTTGTGAGCCGGTGGAATCATCGACACATATTTCTTCCAAAATGATGCCGGTGAAAACGTAACCTCCAATAGCGACCGTTGTCGCGTCCGTCATAATAACCGTTTGCTTGACCCCTAAAATTGAGCTCGTAAACTTGGCGACGGAAAAAAGTAAGGGATCTCGAAAAGTAGTTAATCTCTGGTCACTCACAACATTATCGTAAAGTTTGACGTTTTTGATGGTGTACAAACTCAGAACGTTTTGACGTACGGACGCTATTTGTGATGTTTACAGAAACTTAAAATTTTCAACTCGGCCAGAAAATTTAATTAAATTGTGAACATTTTCCCGGGAGTATTTTCTTTAAAATTTTATGAGAGTCAAGACCCAGTATTTATCGATGCTATGAGAAATTCAATCGAGATCCAAGACACATTTCGTGTAGACCGTCCAATTGTTCCGGAAACTATTGATTTTACGCAAACAGCATACAACTCAATATGGCAAGAACATTGACTGGAAKAAAAATGATTTTCAATCGCTCAAAAAATGCTCGCGTCGATTCATAGAGGGAAATATAAAAAGAACCACTATAGCATACATATAGCTGCCATACACGCTGCACGACCGGAATAAAATCATCATTCTTTTCACGCACCAATTCGTGTTTCTGCAAAACATGGCACTGTAGAGCCCAAAAGCAGAACTATTAACGACGTCAGAAAAGTATTCGAACACAGAAAGTACTTTTCAGTAAAATTGCTTTCTGTAGTTCCTGCTTTTGTATGAAATGAAATCATTATTATCACTCATAAAACATTGTTGAAGTAGTAGATGCTTATCACGTATGTATGTGATAACAACCGATAAGTACTGATTTTAATTGACATCAATTATTGCTGATAACAGCTTAATATTATGCCGCAATAAATGCCTCAACAGAGCGTCAAAAAATACCAGAGAAGCATGGCTAGCCTACTGACGAATAAATGCTATCTGATCAAATATGATCCAGWCAGGAAGAATTAGACTTCACGCGCAAGCCCAATAGTTAAAAATTTAATTCTAGATTCAGCACTGACTAACATTTATGATACTAACGATAAAAATGCTAGCGTAGGTTGTAGAACAAGAAATTAATTAAAAGTTTATTAAAAGTAAATATTTTATGTGCCGTGTCTGTTAAATTTCATTACTTCTAAAGTGCTTTATGGAAATATTAAACGATAAGAAAGTGAACGACATGAAATGCCGCTAAACGTATTCAGTTTTATTTTAATCTCCGAGCAGTTAACATTACTAAAATTGTGATAATGGTATTGAAGGATATTACCGCTGAGAATTCTGACGAGACTGCGGCCGTAACTGACAGCAAGTATAGAGCGTATTCTGAGGGGCAGCGCACTAATTTTCGACGTTACCATGTGTACCCGCATACTTTATATTTTCAATAGGTCCGAAAGTGGGCGTGCGACATTTGCAGAGCATGCTGATATTCTCCGGTTTCTGTGTAGCGTTTATGCAGCGAGCCAATCTCTCAGTGGCCATTGTGGCAATGATGGATCGCAATTCCACAAATCCAGATTTTCCGGTGCGTTCATAATTTCTCAATTTATTTATTTATTTTTTAATATGACGGTGATTGTCTGCAATATACATAAAGGAGTATGAGTGGTCGGAGCAAACAAAGTCATTGCTGCTGAGCAGCTTCTTTTGGGGTTACGTCCTCATGCAGATACCAGGCGGTCAGCTGGCGCAGCGTTTCGGCGGTAAAGTAATGTATCTCTACGGTGTCGGTATTTCTGGATTTCTCGCCTTGTTTACACCCTTAAGCGCACAACTGGGCGATTGGCAATTCATTTGCGCCATACGATTTCTGCAAGGCTTCTGTCAAGGTTCCCTATATCCTTCGGGGCAAATTATTTTAGCTCGATGGGCGCCGCCAGCTGAACGCGGTATACTTGCAACACTYTGCTWTTCCGGCYCRCAATTYGGCACRATCATCATATTGAGTATTAGTGGCACATTAGCKGCTTCAAAGTWTGGKTGGCCSAGCATTTTCTATRTTTCCGGCRGTTGTGGTATTATCTGGTSKTTKGTGTGGCTGCTGTGGAGCGCTGATGCACCGCATCAATCCAAATTAATCACACCCAAGGAGCGAAATTACATCGAATCAGAATTAGCAGTGATTTCTAAGAGTGAGAATAATAGCACCTCGGCAAAGTTGCCCACACCTTGGTTGAGTATACTCACATCCCTGCCGTTTTGGGTGCTACTCCTCTGCAATTGTGCCTACAATTGGGGCTATTGGACAATGATGACACAAATACCCTCGTACATAAAGAATGTGTTCGACAAGGATATCCARAGTAATGCCTTGCTCTCCGCTCTGCCATATACCGCTAATYTAGTAYTCGGTCTGTGTTTCTGTGCCCTCGGTCAGGTATTGCTGTCAAAGAAAGTGTTGAGCACGAACGCTAGCCGTAAGATCTTCAACACGATCGGCATGTGGACTCCGATGACGGCCACTATAGCGCTGGGGTTTGTCGACGCTGATAATGTTGATTTGGCTGTTATCTTACTAGCTGTGGGTGTTGGCACCGACTCAGCAACATTTTTAGGTTATCTTTTGAACCATATGGACTTATCACTGAATTTCGCCGGCGCTATGATGGGCATTACAAATTGTGCAGCTAATGTGATGAGCATTTTTGCACCGTTACTTGTTGGCGTCATTGTGACAGATACGGTGAGTAAGTTAAACATTATAAACATAAATGTAGTATTAACTGATTGCCAATTGTAGACAAATCCAAATCAGTGGCGTTTTATTTTTTACATTATGGCTGGATTCTATTTTATTGCCAATTTACTGTTTATAACTTTGGGTAGCACTAAATTGCAATCGTGGAACGAGCCTGCGAAACGAGACATAGATGGTGAGCAAATCAGATTTCAGCAGTAGCTGTTGATCTTGTCTATAACTAATCTAATTTGTATTTAAATAGGTGGCCAAGAAATCGTTGAATGAAGAAGCCATCTACATTTCAAATAAGGGTAGCTGTTGGAATATTATTCCTTTTTTTTGTATTTTTGCTTGAGTTTATCTTTTTTTTCATTTTGTTCTTTTGTTTCATTTTTATTCACTCGAAATTATCAATTTTGTTATCAGTCGGTATCAGTATCACAACTGAATTCCTATCTTTAACTTTGTTTTATTTGAGATAAAAATAGCTCAAGATTATCAARGGGATCTATCAGTGAGTGAGTAGTTACGCCATTTATAACTCAAGAACAGCTGAACCGATTTCACTAAAAATTTGTGTGGAGCTAGGATACATTTTATCTCTTTATGTCAAAATTTAATACAACTCATACATACAAAAATAATATTTCAAATCATATGCATTTGTTCAAAATTCATGTTTGTAGGAATCCTTTGAATATATGCGCACAATTTTAAACAGATTCTTCCTCAAAACCAATACAATTGCTAAGTATATGGAGTAGTTAACAAGAACTGCAASCAAATACGCAGTGAAATAGATTATAACTGGCTCAGTAAACCAGCCGATTTTTTCGCCTTTCCACGCCTGAAAACCGGTTCATAATGTGCAGTTCACAGGAATGACTGTCGATTGCACACGGTCAGTCGCTAGCCTGAGTTGTATGGTAAAAAAGTAGAAGGGTCCAAAAGTGTGTAACTAACTTCAGCTTTTGTTAACGCATGATATCATGGAAATATGCCAGAAGCAAAAATGTTTACATTACGGGAGGGTGGAGTCATGTGCAGAAATTCACGTAAGGGAGGAAAGCTCTCTGATCGCCATTCACTTGGGAGTGAAATTTTCAATGAAAAATTTTCAACAGCCTCGGATGAGAGACCCCCCTTTTGATGACGACCATGGCAAACGAATTAAGGACTATGATTTGAGGGCATGCACCTGGAATGTCCGATCCCTTAATTGGGAAGGTGCCGCTGCCCAGCTGGTTGATGTCCTCGTGAAAATAAAGGCTGACATCACCGGCGTTCAAGAAATACGATGGACGGGACAAGGACAGAGACGAGTAGGTCCTTGTGGCATTTACTACAGTGGCCATATAAAGGATAGAAAGCTTGGTGTGGGATTTGTGGTAGGAGAGAGACTCCGTCGCCTAGTACTATCATTCACTAGGGTGAATGAACGTCTAGCCACAATCCGCATCAAAGCGAGGTTCTCCAACATATCGCTGATTTGCGCCCACGCCCCGATGTAAGAGAAGGACGATGTGACCAAAGATGCCTTTTATGAGTACTTGGAAAGCACTTATGAGAGATGCCCCCGCCACGATGTCAAAATCGGGCTTGGCGACTTTAACGCCAGGGTGGGCAAAGAAGGTATCTTTGGCACTACGGTCGGAAAATTCAGACTCCACGAAGAAACATCCCCAAATGGGTTGAGGCTGATCGACTTCGCCGGATCCTGACATATGGTTATCTGTGGTACTAGATTCCAGCAGAAGATACATCAAGCTATCTGGCTGTCTCCGGATCGAAAAACCACCAACCAGATCGATTATGTTGTGATMTACGGAAGACATGTCTCCAGTGTTTTAGATGTGCGTGCGCTCCGAGGACCTAACATCGACTCGGACCACTGCCTTGTTGAAGCCAAGATTCGCACCCGCCTCTGTGCAGCAAAAAGCGTACGCCAACAAACACAAGGAAGGTTCGACGTCGAGAAGCTGTAATCACAACAGACAACCGAACGATT